AAAAAAAAAAAAAAAAAAAACAAACAAGCCAAAACCAGAAGTAAACATATTGCTTCAAACATTCATATGGATACTACTTCCTTTCCCACCCCATCTTGGATTTACAGTTGGGCAATAATAAAGAGAGGGTCGACACCTGGTAGAAATCCGTTTTCTCTGAGATGATCTTTAGAACTCCAGGAGCAATGGGAGGAAGCGTGACCATCTGCAGCTTCCCAAGGAAGGGGTTGTGGCCAGAGACTTTGTACCGCTTCATTCGGTCTTCTATCACAAGCGCCAGTGACTGGGAATGGTTGATCACCTCCAGCAGCGTGAAAATGGACACATTCTGAACATAGCAGTCATTCACACAGCAGCATATTGTCATTAAGGACTTCAGCCACAGAGGGAAGCTGGCATCACAACCTCCGCAGAAGACAAGTGAGAAAAAAAGTTTAGGTTACTCAAAGGTTATAGTCTTACCTCCAACTATTCTTCAATCTAGCTCACAAGACAAAAATGACTACCCAGATTCAGCTGTGATACTATCATAATGTCCCTTGCTTCAGAAGAGCTCTCTTCAAGTGTACGTTTTCCCTACTACAGCAAGTGCACTTCTGCTTTCTGGATTGTTTAGGCACAACTAGTTTTTACAGCTGCCATTTTTCAGCTGTCACTGTCAGAGATAACAACAGAGGTCTGCTGATCTAAAGTGGCTCCATGGAACAGCATTGAGGCATATCATTTCAGTAACCATAAAGCACACAAGGAACTGATACAATAACAGCATGTCAAGCCACTTTTAGCTCTGCTGCATGAATAATCAGATAACGTTTTATTAGGACTTGACTGGATACAGCCTGAAGTATGAATTCACGTCTCCAGCTTCAAAGACAGATGTTTTAACTACTTTACCACCAGAATAAAATGAATACTTTTCCTTCCCCAAATCAGACAACTTCTGTACTGCATTCAGCCTACACCTTCATTATTAGAGGGTCTCTATCCTTTTGCCTTTAAACCTTACTGTTTCTCCAAGCTGCACAGTTGAAAATTGTGTCAAAAATAATCTTAAATAATCCTAGGACAATATTCCAAAGAAACACAAGTATGTAAGGAAGCCTTCTAAGTACACTCAGTACAGCTAAATTGTTTAATCAAGTGGAATGCACTGCAAATATGCAAGCATCTACATCAAGGAGAGCTCACCCACGTAAATGATAAGCATATCACTGCTGTGCTGAGGAAGACTAAGGAAGACACCAGAAATCTGTATTGAGGTGAAAGACAAATTTCAGTTTCCCACCTCTCCATTCACCCAAGTCTTCAAGCCAGTAACTGCTGCTAAACCTAATGAAAATTCCTAGCACGGACAGGCCCTTCAATCATACATGTTTTGTTTTTTTTTTAATATATGTCAGTTTAATCAAATTCCTTTGAACTTTAAGGTTAGGAAAATTGATGTTTTCCTTTTATTATGGGCTCCAATTTTCATTTAGTCCAACAACCTCTAATGCTTCTTTTTTATGGATCTGTTGAAACTTCTGAAACCTGCCAAAAATACCCCAGGCCAGAAGACATTCTCATTCTGTCATCTACAAGTTTTGTAGTGAAAGTCTTCAAAAATTCATTAAAAATGCTTGGGCAGAATTGTCCCATATCCCCAAGACACAAAATATACGCTGATGTAGTAAATCTTGAATTCGTAGGCAACTTGCCTGCAGCTCAGTTAAAAGGCATTACCTACTGATTGCATCTCTTGCAAGTAACTGAGCTCACATTGTAATTTGTATTCCCAAATGCACAACTTGTCCATGAAAGAAATCTTTTCTTACCAGGAAACTGAAACAAAGAGATATACAACTGTTCCATTTCCTCCTCCGAAAGATAGACTGGGAATGTGGTACAATCCAACAGAAGGTGACAAGCTGCAGCAAAAGCTTCTTTACAGTCAGCTCTAAGGGGTCCCAAGACAAGCATCACTTGTTCCAAGTCCCAGTCTTCTTCCTTTTCTTTTTTATTATCAGAGTTGCAATCAGAAGAAAGAAGGTTAGAACTCTTGTTCTTGAATGGTGACCCTCGAACTGAGAACAATTCTGAAAGCATTTGTTTAAACTGAGGTACAGTGATTTGCTTTGCAATCTTTTTCTTGCTGGCACTCTCAGATAATCTGTAGCCATTCTCCTTTTTCTCTTTTCCACTCAGATTAATTGCTGAGATGCTTTCATTATTTGCTTCTTGAAATTGCACCCCAAAAATGTATTTACTGGAAAACTTGGCAACCAGCTCTTGGATGCAATGCAAAGTCTTCTGAATGCTCCCCCCTTTTTTCCAGACATCATCTCTCTCCAGTGTCACAGTTGGCACTCCTAAGTGCTGAGAGAGCTCTGGGGAGGAAGCACTTAGACCAATGCCACTGTCTTCTGACTTCAGGGGAGGGAATGGAGTCTCATCCTCCTCCTGCAGCTCTGACTTAGTCTCCAAGGTTACATCCACATTTTCCTTTTTCACCGGGCTCTAAAACAGAAACATTAACATGATTAATGTGACAGTATTTAGTCACTGATAATTAATTTGATTCAACTGCATTTAAAACATAACAAATATTTGTGTAGTCCTCACACTTTCACTCAAACATCAACAGATCCCTGTCTACAGATGCTTAGCAAATGGAAATATTTCCTTAAATTCACTTTACAACTGGAACAGTATTATTTATGCTTGACTATTTTCAGTCAAATGCATTTATGTGTTCTACTGAAAAACGTTCAGGCTGTGCTTGTGTGACTGCTTCATACCATCTGTTCCTTATTTGCCATCATAGTTTCCTGCACCCAAGTAATTCCACATTGTATTAAACTAAAATATTAACAAAAAGCCTTATAGACCTAACCAGCTGTAATACTGAGCTTGATTTGTCAACTCATCTTTAAGAACTGCATGATGCTGTCTGCCTCTTCAATACTATTAAAAGCACATTTTTCTTAATACATAGGATCATAGCCTCTGTTTCAGAGGAGACTACTTCACTCTCACAAATAACTGAAACAAGTCCGAAATGGAACAATAATCACCGGACATGAATAATCTGGAAGGGAACAAAATAAGTTTTGAAAATCTGTATTGCTTCTGTTCATCATCTACATTTAAGATTAAAGAATCAGTATTTAAAAACAAGACTTGTCACAATCAATTTTACATATCGATAAGTACTTGTGAAATACTTACCCCATTTCTACTTCCCGTCTCAATGTCCAAATAAGAAGGAGGCATTTGCACTTTGCTAAGCACCTTAAAACATGTCTTTAAGGCATGAGTGAGTTCTGGCAAACTTAATACCTCCACATTTTCCAGGAGAGACTGCACCATGTAACTGAGCATCTGGGGAAGATACTGAGTCTGCACTTCAGAGTAGAGTTCCTAAAATAAATAAGCATCATTTAAAATAGCTATCAGACATTATTATTTAACTGTGAAGTAACACTGGTTAACTGTTGATAACATCAGTTCATGAATACGTAATCTATACAAACTTGCTTCAGAGCTATTCTTCCTTCATTCTGTATGATAAAAACCGTACCCTAAAAGAGTAGAGTCTGCCAGCTACTATGAGACAAAGAATTCTCATTCCTTTCACTGATTACCATAATTTGAAATGACAGTTATTTTGCTAGGCAATAGCAAGGATAACCATATAGAAGTCAGCAAGTGAAACTATACTTTGCCAAACATGTCATAGATACACACGTGCATGCTTGCTTGCGTCTATTATACATAATATACTAATTATTTGTTCTTAGGCATCTAAAGACATCAAAATAGTTAACTGCAGGTTGCCTTACCAAAGGAATCACGTCAAGAAGAAACACCAATAATGTGCAGAGCTCTGAAATTGTAGGAGGCATGCTAACATTTTCAAGATGATCTCTTGTCTGTGTGGATTTCTTTCTAGCATGGAAATAAACACCATTTTAAAACTTTTTTCCAGTCAAAATTCTTGTTACAATGGAATACTTTCAGCAGAACAGTTAGGCCTTCTAAAGTAAAGTAAAAAGAGATTTCTAATACAGCAACAGAAAGCATTCTATCAAAACCACCTAAACTGCTGCATGTATGCGAGATGCTCAAGTGCTCCTAATTTTCAGATCAAATCTCTATAGACTCTTACTAAGTGTAACCTTCTGTCTTACATTTAAAAAGAAAAAAAAGGATATACTTATCTTCAAAAAAGGACAAAAGCATTTTCCCTATCCACTTCTCTTATTAAGTCTTTCCCAGTCCTAGCTGCTATTAAACATAATTTATTTTTTTATTTTATTTTATTTTTTATTTTATTTTTTTGCATGCAATTATTTGTTTGCATTCTTTAATTATTTCAGGAAGCAACACATATAGCTATCTGAATCTAACCTGTACTGAGGCCCTACCAGAATGTAAATGTTTTGATAAACTTTATGATCTTACATAGATAGCTGTTATGCACTATTTTTGGGGAGGGAGGGTGCTCTATTTTTAGATAACATAAATACCTGAAACAATCTTCAAAACATTTAGTCATGTAATCCCAAAGAAAGTCTGTGCTTAAGGAGGTAATCAACATATTGACTGTTTTGACAATTTCTGAAGCATTTTTGTTCTCTTTGATTGCACTGCATGTAAGGAAAAAGAAAAAAGAAAAAAAGAGAAAAATATATCAGCAAAGATTTTAAGAGCATGTATGCTACAGCATTAGCTGCTGTACTGCAAAAACTTATTTTTCCTCTGAGATATTGATTGCTTGAATCCAAGGACTAAGCAATTCTAGAACAGCTAAACTTTGAGTATCTTCCAAGATGAAAGAAATCAAACTTTAATGAACTTAATCACCACCAATGATAAGCAGTGTTCTTCAATTTCTTCTCTTCTAATCAAAGAAGTCAAGCGCGTGTGTGGAAAATGTTAGGGAAGTCACAAGAAATCTGGTATTTTATATAGAAGGATAGTTAGCTTTTGAAACAAAAATTTGCTTAATTGGGTTAGTTTTTATTAACTTGGCTTTAATATATATATGAAACTGTTTCAGTTTATAATTGAAAAGTTGTACCTTGCAAGTACATTGCCACTTTGATTGTAGCTAAGTTTGAGATCAGAACCAAGTGCATCCTTGCAGTAGGAATAAAAGGCTCTTATAACTTCAAGGAAGAGGTCCCCAACAACTTGAGGCCCTACAATTTAAGAAAAAAAAATAAATCCTGCAATTGTATTAAAGTCATTGCTAGGCAGTTCAGTTACAAGCTTGTATAAACCTGAATTAGGAGTAACTAGATTTAAATAAAACAACAACAACGTGAGTTTTGAAGTATGAAGAAAATGATTATGTGGCTTTTTAAAACATCAGATTTTGGGAAACAACTCAGTTAAAATGAAATTAACTACTTACATGGATTTTTTTTATTATTATTGTTTTTTATTTTAGTCAAATATTCCCTGTGTTTCATTTTTAGGAACTTTTAAAGTGGTACTTGAAAAGCCATAGCACTGATTCTACATTACATCTAAGACACTTCAGTAAGGCACATCTACTGCAGTCACTGTAAGTGGGTATAAGCATACCACAAACCTGCAGTTCACATGCCAGAAATAAACACCATATCTATAACTGTGAGGAAAACAAGCAAATTTTCCAATATTTGTTCCGCATAGTAGCCATGATTAAATTTTGAGGAACAAAATCTGGGAAAATAATTGTAATAGAGAAAGCTCAATTGGACAAATAGAACTATAACATGCTTTTTTATACACAGTTTTAAGAAGAACCCACAAGTTAGGTGTGTGCTGTCATCTGCACCCAACTGTCATGGGTCAGCACACCTTTATTTTATGTAAAATTGCACATAAAGATGAACAATTTATATGTACAGTATCCCAAATATGAAACTATTAAAAAAGAGTATATAAAGCATTCCAATGAGCATTTCTACAGGAAAAAACAAAGTTACATAACTAAGTAGCAGAAAAGGTCAAAGATTCTTGCTGTTTTATTTTGCTTTTTTTTTTTTTAATTCATTTGAAAAGGAAGTGAAAGTTATATAGGTTTAAGGCTCAAGAAGTTATAATTTGTGTGCTGACTGAAACAGAAAGAGTAAACCATATCATGCAGCTCAACTAAATAATCCTTTTTTGTGGTTCAGATTAACAATGACTGTCAACAAAATAAAACATATAATAGGCCATCCACTATCAGTCATCCACTTTCTAAATTAGATTATAAAGTATGTGACTAATTCAACAACCTCAGTCACCTGTTCTTCCTTCAACATAGTTTTCAGGAAATAAAAATGTTTTATATAATATTCTTTAATCACAACTGTTTTTCAGATATTCTTAGAAAAGATTAGCAGCTGAAGGAGATGTAAGCACCATTTGATAAACAGACTAACAACGGCTTCTATTAAGGGAAGTAATACAGGATTCTCCTTTGTCCTGGCAATGTTTTGATAATACTTTAATGGGAGATTGTGCTTAAGAGGACTTTCCAGACCCATGAAAAAGGATAATCTTAATACACAGAAGCCTACAATTAAAGAGTTTAGTCTCAGTATATGAGTTTTATTTGTGGTAAAGACTACAGGCTTAGTCAACACTAACATCTTTCTCCAGAATAACTCGTAGAATGCTGAGGAATATAGTCAGTCATTAAGACTATACTGGCTTCTAAAAACTATCTGTTAACCTCCCATATCCATCAGATTCTCATAATAGAGTTTCAAAGACTTATCTGTACATGGTTCTTACAAGAATACTCAGAAAACCTAAATTCTGTCAAGCCCCTTACATTTTATTTATTTTTTTATTTTTGACACAGAAAAATCTTGACCTTTGAAGGGCAGGCTGGCAGGGTCTCACCCTTGCAGAACTGGGAAGTTCACGCAGACAACAGCATAGACATGTGACCAAGGAAGTGGAGGAAATTCTTCAAAGCCCAGTCACAGAGCCTCAGACTATAGCTCCCACAACAGCAGCAGGCCAGTGCAAGCACACAGTGCCACTGACAGAGGCACCTCCATCTCTCACCCAGAGGAGGTTATTTGCAGCTGGAGCAGCTGCAGGTAAATGGTACTGCCCATTCTGGCAGCAGTAGCACTGTAAACAAGCTGCCTGGGGGACTAAATTGTTAGGAAAAACAGTGCAGTCAGAGTGATGCAGGCCTATAGAAAGACCTGCGAGCAGCCAGGTCAACAAATCCAGGAAAAAGTAGTACTCGCAGTTTTTCAGATAGAAGCTCCTTACAAGACAGAAAGTAGAGATGTCTGACATTACACCTGAGAGATTAAGCTCCAGGGAATGAATAGAGCAGAATACTGAAGTTAGGATAGTAGTGGTTCTTTTGAACTGGACTCTGACTGCAGTTCTGAGCACAGTGGAGGGTTCTCCTTGTGATAATTACAGGACGTAGTGCTCTGCAGAAAGGCCAGAAATAACCTGGATGTTTTTTGCTTTAAAGCACAGTTCTTAACCAGTTTTAAGGCAAGTAAAACAGTCCCCCTGTACAGCAATACACACAAAAGACATACAATCAGAATTCAGAAGAAATGTGCATAGTGCTGTCCCGAGTCCTACTTCCAAAGCTGATAAACAAAAAATCACAACAATTTTAACAGTCACAACAGGAGTGACAGGTAACATTACCTATTTCAGGTTTATCAAGGAGACTGATAAGGATGCGGAAAGGTTTCAGATAAGCTTGATGCTGTTCCTCTGTATCAGATTCAGAGAATTTCTGATGTAAAATTTCAGCCAAGCTCTAGTAAAAAGGAAAGAATCAAAATGTTATACCTAGAAGAGAGATTTCCATTCTATTAACACTTGGTCTTCCAAAGCCAGAGTGGATGGGGTTTGAGCAACCTGGTCTAGAGGGGGGTGTCCCTACCCACAGCAGGGGGTTGGAACTAATGATCTTAAGTGACCATTCCAACCCAAACCATTCTGTGATTCTACGATTCCTGAGTTTTATTTTGTGTAGTATCATCTAAACTGAACTCCAATTTTCTACATAGGGTAGACAAGTTGAGGACATCATCTTATTCAGGGAGGCATTTTTAATAATTTCCATTAGATTCCATTTGTATTTGTAAGCACATATAATGTTGGGACAAATATAGCACAGAAGGCATTCAGATCGAAGAATATAACACAGAGGGAATGCTATAGTTAGGGATAGAAAGCTCTGAAGGACATATGAAGTGATGCAGTGAACCACAGACACAGTTTGTGCTAAAATTTAAAAGGATCATAAAAATATCTGTATAGAATGAATACCAACCTCAACTAAAAGATCTCTAGAGTATTTTCCAAAAAAATAAATAGCATGGTCTTCAGAAGTTGTTGACTCTGGAGCAAAAGTACCCCCTTTGATATCAGAGCCTACAAGACAAACAGAGGCCTAACAAGTACAGAGAAACACTACATTACAGAGCACTACGTACACTACAGGGAACTACACACACCTTGTTTATAAAAGTATTGAAACTACACTGCATTTTTTATCTTCATAATTTTAACACTTTCCTTGAAACTAACACATAAGGTGCCCAAGGACAGCTTATGTGTTACACAGTTTGAGACATCCAGGTGTACTATACTGAACTTCAAACAAATCAAAACCAAGGTCAGGTCTAGATATGGGGTCATCACAGGCAGTCTTCATGCAATTACACAGCTGCAACTCTTGTCCTTATCACTTTCAGTCTCCTCTGGCACATAAAAAGAGGCAGACTGGGAAAAGCCACAGCTCAGTTATAGCTCCTTCCTTGACTATTAAGGCTACACAGGAATCTTTAATAGGCTATTACTTCCAGAAGAGCAAGGTTAAAATGGCACTCTGTTCCCTTCAGATGACTCTGGGGTGAACTGTGAAGGGAATCATAAATAACTCATCAGATGCCCAGTGATTCAGGACAGTGAAATGAATTCAACCTCTGAAAAGAAAACCCGTTTAATAAAAATCAAGCATTCATTTGACAAACGGGTACTTTGTAAATGCAAGCAGAACAACATTTTCTTTAATCATCATTCATCAGCTGCTGAAAAAGCGTATTATATTTTTAAGCACTGAAACAGTTTTCTTTTAGGTACTTGGAATATTGAATATTGCTGTATATTGTACCATACCTAGCAACCATGCATATAATCTTCTATTGAGTGACATGTCTCTCCTCAACAATGTTTGCGTAGCTGCTGACAGAACATAGACTAGATCAGTCCTGCGCAGTAGAATAGCATTTTCAATGTAGTCCTAGGGCAAAAAAAGACAGCTTAGTTGTTTACGAACACTGAAACAAGTCAAACTGGTAATGAGGGTTTTGTATTTGTTTTAAAACTGGTACTATTAGTGTTTTGGGGGAGGGAAAAAAAGAGGGATAATGAACCATCAATGACAAAATATTTTGTTTACTAAAAATTTCAGGAAAGAGAACCTGACACAGTTGTGATTTTATATGTGATTATTTTCCTATTTATAGTACAGAGCTAACATTGTTAAGCTAATAATACTGAAGACTTCATTGCATTGCATCTTAAGACTTAAAATTATTTGGTACCTTCAAATTACTGCACAACAAGGCAAGCTGGAAAATGATGGGGGACAGCTAATATTTCAAGTATTATTTGTTTCTCTAGTTATTCACAGAAGTTATCTTCATTTAACACAGACAATTCCAAATGTTCTATATTTTTCTCTGCGCAGCTTCCCAGCCTGAACACTTCAAGCACATTCCAGATATCACGGCACTTAAATCAAAGCACAGCTTCATTTGAAGCATTTTGATGTAGAAGTATGGAGTATGTAGCTGTATGGAGTATGAATACATAGATGGAGGAGTAAGAAACTGCAAAATCTGTTTATAGGTTTTGAAGGTACAAAGGTGAGACATTTAGTGATAACAGAGGTGGCAGCTGGACTGGTTTCACAGTAACTATCTCCCTGCACAAAGTACACATATGACAATACTAAAGTAGTCCTCTTACCAAAGCTGTATCAAATGGAAAGAAGAAAAGAATCACTTCTAGAGTGTTTCTTTGCACAAGGACATTTGAATCCAGTACTGATACACACAAAGACTTGATCTGTGAAACAACAAGAAAGCACAATGGTGTTTTACTTCATGATCATACCTAAAATACCATCAGAGGAGAAAGAAAAAAAACAAACTTGATTAAACATGATCAATATTATTTTATATGAGAGGATAATCATTCACCCATTTACTTCCCCTCCAAAAAGAGCCAAGCCAAAAGTTTTGCAGAATACTGTTAAAATATTGTTAAAACTTACAAAATACCTGGTTTTGTAACAGTACAGAATGTCACAACATGGTACCATTAACTATCAGACAGAAAGTGAAGTCTACTAAAATGCCAATGTTAAGTACTTCAGCTGACTTTACAGTAATTGCATCACTTCAACATCAATTACTACCTACTGACGTTTCCTATTTTACTGAAAAAATAAAAAGGCATTAAATCTCAGATTGTCTTCTAGGATTGTAAACATTTGAGAAATCTACATTAAAAATGGTATGTAAGGTATTCATAGTATATAAGGTGTAATTCAGAACAAGCAGAGACAAGGTGTCACGTTTATCTCTTGAGTCAGTCTTCTAAAGGTTGTATACAATACTGACTATCAAGAAGTGCAGAAAATTCAGAAGATTTGCATTTTGCAAACTGAACAAAGTATGTATGGGAGATTCTCTGGTACATTTCAGGTAAGATGTTCCCATGAAGGAACTGCCTAATAATGCAATTCTGAAGTACAGACCTTTCAGCCTCTCTTTTTCTCACTCTTAAGAGATGTTCTAATCCAATACAGAGAAGATACAACTTGCTAGCATGCTGCCATTATGGTAGGTAAGACTGCTCCACAAGAAGCATAATGAACTTACTGTAAGCTTATAATCGGTGCCAAGCATGTACTTCTGCTGTTTTCCAGACAGCTCTCTGTTGATATGGCTGACAACAAAAAGAGAAGCAGGCAGCCTAATGGACGGGCTGACCAGAACACTGCCCCAGAGTGCTCCATAGAAAACTTCTTTGCCCATTAATAAGGAGAGCTTCACAAGCAAAGCATCTGTTCTGTAAGAAAGAATATTTGATGTGAGCAAAGATTTCTGTTCCTATAGTTTTACACCATAAAAAGGCAATTATACAGAGTTAGTATTGTAGGTCACAGAATTCATTTATTTTCTCCATTTTTGTATTATCAGCATTGTCCCTTTCTACAGAAAGATGGCCACTGTGTGATTGCACAAAGAACAAACAAAAGAAAAGCAATCAGGCAACAAAAGCAGAACAAACAACGACAAAACAACAAAATAAACAAACAACTTTCAAGCCTTTGTCATTGTGCACATTCACTGAAACAGTTTCTCTGCATGCTATGGAAACTTCCCCTGTAATTATCTGCCAACACTAAGCTCTGACCAAACTACTGCAGTAGCTCTAATTGCAAAATATTGACTATGAGATGTGCCTGATGCTGAGCTGGAAATACTTTAAGCTGATGGCAGGCTGTGAAAGCTGATTTTGCCAGTCTAGGTATTGGAAGATATCCCATATATTCATACTTAAAAATCAACAGGGTCAATTTTTAAGTCTTGAACAAGCAAAACATGAGAGAAAATAACAGTTACTGCACATAGAACCGGAACACTAAAATTTAATAAAAGGCAATCACATTGGAGATCCTATGACTTCAGGCACATTCTCTGTTTTGGCAACTCTGTCAGTACTGTGGTACAGAAACCTCACATTAGGAATGCAGAAGTGAGTGAGAAGGGAGAAGTCCAGTACAGAAGAGAGGGAAAAAAAAAAAGACACCAAACCCAATGTTCTTTATCCATTTCCTCATAAAGTACCCTTCAAGACATTTTTTTTTTCTGCATGTGTGTGTTTAAGCATTAGAAGGATACAGCATCTACGTCTCTCACAAAGCTGAGTTTAAAATTAATCCAGCACAGCTTCCAACAAGAAATCTTGCCTATCTTTATTGTACCAGAATCATTACCACAAGGAAACTAAAGAAAAATATTTTTACGTGATTTGTGTGTTTTGTAAAATGACATTAAATTAAATTTCAGCATAAATATTTCACAGTGAAATATATGAGCAACTTCTGTCTGGCATTGTTTTCACCTTGCACATCAAAAACAGGGAAAACAAGGTATAAAAACAGAAGCTGGATCTTGGAACTAATCTGCAGTTAGCAGTAATTCACTAGATAGGCACTAGCTATAGGCAGTTTCAAAATAAGCTGAATCTCATTAAGTCTTGAGATGGATAGAATATTTAGTTTCAAAGGATTCCCTTATTTCCCAGCAGCTAGTGCTGTTGGAAAGAAGAAAGCTACACATCACTGTGTCCTGTAAACCTGTCTGGAAAAATCATATAATAAAATGCATCCTTCTACAGCAAACTGTATGAGGTAGACACATGGTCTACAGATAAGATGCTCTGCAATTGTCAACTGAATACTACCAATCTGCAAATACACGTGACCTATTCTTACATGCTTCAGTGACTGAATCAATCTAACACTTGTTGTTGAGACATTAGATCTACAACTATTTTACTAACCATATTATATATAACTTAGCATTCAAAAAAGAACAGTGAGAACAGCCAACGTATGCAGACTGTAAATACAGATGGAAATACACTATAAAAGTTTAAGCAAAGAAACATTTGTTTGAAATCTACAGTAGCTGAGCTCTTACAAAACAGTTTTGGTAACTGAAGTAAAACCATTACACAAGTGGGTGCTGAGCTGCTCTTCTTAGCACACTCCCTGATCCTGACTTTATTGTACCAAACATCATTGCCATTACTGTCTGAGGCCCCAGGGAATGAGTAAGACAGCTCTTCCACAACAGATGCTGAAAGGGTTGCCTCTTGCTTCTGCTTTCAGAAACTGAGGCTAAGTATCTGACGTAGAGAGATTGGAAAGAAGAGAGAATGCAGCTGCTCTCTTCTGCCACAACATATATTTAAATAGAATTTCCTTACAGAGCAGCAGTTTGGGAAGACAGGTCAATTATTCAGAAATTTGGAAAAGCATTTAAAAATGCTTTTTCATTCTCTTCCTTCAATATATCGATCTTCATCCCTCCTTTTTCTCTTCTCCCTTCCTCCTCCTGAGATGAAAATAGATGGGGAAAGGTTTTTTTCTACTTCAAAGCTATTTATTGCAGCTTTCAGGGAATCATCATTCTTCTGCCCTTAGAAGAAGCCCTTTAACAAACTTTCTCTTTCCACAGCCAGCCAGCCATCAGAAATTTCTTCAGAATTCCATAAGAAAGCAAAATACTGTATATTACTTTTACATTAATTCTCACCTGTCATAGATTTCTGACCCTTCTTCCAATCCAGGCAGCAGTCCAATTACAAAGGCTTGAAGACCAGGCAGGAGGGACTTTTGGAGAGGAAGAAAGTATTTCTCATATAAACCAAGGAGAACAGGCCTCACTGACATTGCTGCATTTGCCAGCAGAGGAAACAAACCAGAACTGAAAAAAAATTAAAAAAATTATTAATTAAAGTAGACTGTGAAATGCATAAGCTTTTAAAGAGAAGTTTACCTGTACAAGAACAAGTCTTTGGCAAGCCATTTTGTCCCAATTATTTTAAAGATTATTTCATAGGTTTCTAGTGCCTTTAAATGTACTCCACTAGGAAGTGCTGGATGCAAACACTGAGATAATCTTTTACTGATGATCAGACGTCTTGGCAATAGAGAATACTTCAGGTTACTCTGAAGAGCCTGTGGGAAAAAAAACAGGTCAGAATGAATATCTGTAATGTGAAATATCGTTTATAATATGACTGTATTTCAAAGGTTTCCTACTAGCAAACGGAATTAAATAACACATTCAAGATTTTTCTCTGATAAATGGAGATTGTTTCACTTCAGAGTTCTGCAATTGAGTTTTAGTATGAAACCAGTTATGAATAGCATAGGAAAGCCTGGTCTTGCTTTCCATAGAGACTGAAAATTGAAGTCAAATGACAAAGAGAGCACACTCTCATCCTATCTGCAAGGGAAGTGGGAAAGCAAGAAGTGAAGTGCCTCAGCTTTTAAGGACAGGGAATAGTGTAAGAATTAAATAACTATCTTTCCTCATAAATTAACATTGCTCTTATAGCTGAAATAAACAAATAATCCTCCCACCAAAGTACGCATATAAAATCTCTGAAGTTGCTTGTAAACCTGTGTGGCTATACTCAGTATGCTTTAGTAACTATAGCCATTGTATGAATGAATAAGTAAAAGATCTTCAGGATAGGAAACAACTAAGTATTGCACATAGGCTAAGGCTCAGGAAAACCAAACTGCATTGCCTTTCTTGAAAACGTTGCTCTTTTCATTAAAGCAAATGAGTATATACATACAAATTATTAAGTTTCTAAAATTGAGAAAGCAACAATTAAAAGAAAGAAGTTGCAAGTAAATGCCACTTTGGCCTTTAATCACCGACTATTAACACAAACAAGTGTTTTATTGCAGGTTGCCTTTTGGGATGTTTTCAGGATGAGGCAGATTCATGACTCTCCCAAAGGCTAAGTCTTGATCTTATCCCATGTAACCCTTTAAAACTCTATGTTATTCTAGTATGCCTGAAAAAAAAACACCAAAAACCCAGTAGACAAAGGAACTAACTCATGCTTCTCCAGTTCCAAGAAAAACACAGTAAATCAATGATCATACCATTTGCTTCAATGGAGAATCCTGAATATTCACATTAGCATTCAGAAGAAGACACAAAACTCATCCTACTTCAAAGGTGTGTGCAGTGTATCACTTAAAACTTCACAGTAGGTGGGCATGAGAAGTTAAAAATCTACTACACTGCATTATTTCTCCTACTTGCTGCCCTGCCTAAACTGAGATTAGCTGTCAGTGAAGAGTTTCTAGTAAAAAAAAAACTTCACTGAAGAAGAAAAAGGCTGCGGGTTCCTAACAACAGTAAATAGAAAGAAATGCATACAGTACAAATGCCATTCAGAGCCATTATATTTCCTTTCTTCCCTCCCTCCCCTATGATGTGATTTGCATTTTAATTGGTATTAAAAGCCAGATTTAAAGAGTACAGCATAATCTCACACATGAATGGGCCATACTTGCAAAATTAGCTTTTTAACATGTTGTCTTGTACCAGCTTTGAAGACTGTCTGAAAGCTGGACTTTGAAACATTCTGCTTATATTGGTTGGTATATATTTGCCCACACCCTCTGTAAATATAAAAGAAGATGACTACAAAAAAAAAATACACCAGCGGTAAATATTTTCGGAGTTTAGGATCAAACAGATACCATCTTAATATACTATCTGCTAAAATCTTAATCTTAACTATATAGAAAACAGCAGGTAGACAACTGTCCTCACAGGATTGGGAACTGACATTATTCCCCCTGCCCCTTTTCCTTTTTTAATTCCTGTGAGTGTATTTTGATGGTCTTCAGTTACATAAGGGCTGAAGCCCACCCTGATCTACGTTTTCTCCTTTTCTCCAACTTTCCTACACATGAGCAACTATGATAGCTGAAGAGTTACATTATAAACATAAAACATCTTCTAACGCATAAGGATGCTTCTTTGAACATGAGCTATAAAGGGCAGAAGAGAAGACTATCTGCTCTTTATAGTGTATACACGTGGCTTTATAGTGTATGTACACGTGACTGAAAACACAAAACAAACACAGGCACACATGCAGGAATATTTCTATTTCCACGGTTACTGGTTAAGGCCTACACTGCTTTATAGCACTACAGTATCAATTTGCCTAGACATTAAGAAAAGCAAGCAAATCAAGTAAATATTTATATTCCCATAAATAGAATTTCAGAAAAAAAAAATGCAGCATGTATATTCAACCAGGAAATCTGCTAACTCTTATTTAAGTCAACAGTGGTTGGAAGGAGTGAAGGAGAAGGCCAGCCTATAAGTTCATTTTCCACTGATTCATTTTCCAGATAAGTTTGAGAGAAATTCATAACAGAGCTTCAGCTTCCATAAAAACAGCAGCAGGAAGTTCAAAGCTGGTAATGAGAAAACTGGGAACTCAAGTCATATCAAAAGAAGGAGACATATCCCCAGTTCTGCACACTGCATTTGAGCACTGGGTGCGGTGAAGTTCCATAAAGCCATTAGAAGGCAGGGCTTCCCTTCAACAGAAGGCAAGTGGTGTTTGTGTTTGTAACTCAGCAAACAGCTGTCATAAAGACATGGCAGTCACAGTTCTCATACAACTAACTGGCATCATTAAGGGCTCTGCTGACAAAAATCTGTGTTTCGGAAGAATCTCTCTCTCCCCTCAAGAACATAGTGTTGCACTGAATGTTACTGCTGAAACAAAGGCCAGCTGTGCAGCAGCAATGATTTTTGTTCTTTCTTTCCCTTTTCCTTCTAATTTGTTTAAACTCTGAACAGATTGCTACAAGCATTTTAAATGTGAAACAAGGCATGCCTGCATATGCTGAATTGCCATCTATTTCTAGGTATAAAAATAAAAAAGGGGCGGGGGAGGAGAACCTAAAAATTTCTTCTATCAGAGTGACTTTGCAGAGTTGTATAAAGTTGTATCCTATTACAGCATTGGAACAAGCTGGCAAGATCTCCAATAGCAGCATCACTTTTTGGCACTCAAACAATCCCGGATGCAGCAATCTGTACTGAAGATCTGAAAACCTTAGCCACAAAACAGTGTTCTCCTGATAGCGAATGTATGCAAATTTCCAAAAATAATTAAAAGACACTTCAAGGCTGTATCCATTAAGAGAAACAAGAAGATGGTAATCCTACTTCTTGAAGCATGGAGCAGCCCACGCTGCAGCTACTAAATGATTGGTTTATGTAACTAGAGATAGGATCCATCATCATGATGTGTAACACACTGTAAAATGAAAAAACAAATATCTGATGTAGTGTAAGTTAGCAACTTCTGCCAGTGCTAGCCTTTGTTTTCACTCATACTCACACCTGGTACCTGCAGTTCTGTTCAGAGCACTGCAGGGGATTCATCTTACCTCATCTTAGAAGTCTAGGTCACCTAAAAAAACATGGGCAGTATGGTAGTAACTCACTCCAGGCTTCCTACAAAGCCAGTAGGGAACATAAGCAATTTTAGGACAGGATTCTTCTGATCTACTTTAAATAGCAAGAGGTGAGTCACATCTAACTAATTAAAACCTTTAACCTTATTTCTCTCCCTGCTTAAAAGTGATTCAAAGTAAAGATGTCCACACTGAAGACATCAAAAGTTAGATAAGGTTTGTCTCCCTTAAGTGACGAAACTGTCTTTTGAGATCTCCAGACAGACCATTTTAGCTGATCATTCAGACTGATGTCAGGAAGTTTTTCTCTGCTTCTGTGGTACTACAAGTCACCATGAAAAAGAGAACCACAGAAGCAACAAAGAAAATGTTAAAAATAATATTCAGTGTAAACTTGGTAGGGATTTAATATTAGCAAGAAGTAGTAAAACTGTCTCTTTTTCACCAGCAATAAGAGCAGCAAGAGCTCCAAGGCCACTTGTTTTAGCCATGGCCAAAGGCATTTGTATCAGCTTCCTCCATCCTTTATCTTTCATCTTTAAATAGGAGGAGCCCCATGCCAATTCCTCCAGCCCTTGTATTGAAAGGGTAATTCCACTGAACTTCTATGGAAATAAGGGCGTAGGTATTAACCTGTGAGACTCAGTAGCACAAGTATTACAAAACCCAGTACTCTACCTACAGAAGAAAAAGCCTCAGAAAATATTACAAGTATGTAAGCAAGAGCACTCACAATTCAAGTCAACAATACAAAGATCCTTTTGTAGCACATGCTTAAGATCTCCCAAGCAATACCAAAAGCATGAAAAGTCCTTCCTTGACTCCTTCTCTTTGCTCTCTCTCCCTTTCTCAGCATTTTCATGTTTGCTTAGTAATAGGCATCACTGTTACTGACATTCCTGAATATAATTCTTTGCTGTGTAAAATAATCTGTATTTTTACAGACGTTTCTGTCATTAAGATAACGTTGATCTCCTTCCTTCCACCCACTCATTCCCTGCTCATTCATTCATTCTTGGATTATCAGAAACTGTCTGTAGAATAAATTAGGCTTTTTATGTTAAAATCACACCATAAAAAGAGTTCCCCAACAATATTTTTGTTTTATGGTATAGAAAAAACGAGATATGACAGGAGTTAAGCAAATAGCTACTGATATCTTATTTCACAGTCTTCCTTTTTGTGGCACACTCCCCTGACTTTTCTGTTATCACCCCTCTTTTCAGATAACAGACAGAAGCAGACGAACACTAGGGATGAATACTGTTCTACCAATTCCTATGCTCCTAATACGATTAAGTCCACAAAATACCACAGCAGATGGACTGATGTAACAGCAAAAAACCTTCCTGTTTGTTTCCCACTATGCTGCCATGTATTTTGGCAATCATGTACCCTGCACAGGAGTTTCAGCTAGGCGTTAGTCAGATGGGATGTATTCACCTAGATTCAGATAAAAGATCAAAGCCTACTTTCTGCCATAGGTATGCAATCTCATTTAAATTCTGATTTTTCCTTTCAAGAGAAGCATTCTGAAGGCCTTTCATTCTCCTTATGACTGTCCTCAACAAGAATAAAGGGAGAAATAGTGTAGGCAGAAACGTGCAATTCCTATTAACAAAGCAATATGCAGCTTCCTTCTGTTGAGAAGGAAAAAAGGTGACTGCCCTTTAGAAAACCTTTCACTTCGATTCTCCTTGCCTTTGAAACCTGTGTAGCATTATGGTTTAGCAACAACAGCAAAGTCATGTGACACACATCTGGTAACAACACATTTCCTTATGAATTCTGCAAGAGCTTGCCTCCTCCCATTCCTATCTACTTGATGATGCAACTACTCACACGCCATATACACTCAGGAAGAGCACTGTGTAAAAACAGACCAAATGGGACACAAATAACATTCTCCTTCTTTCTCGAGCAAGAGGAGAAAACATTTCCTAGGTGTTTTCCCATATAAGACTTTTTTTTTTTTTTTTTTTCCCCTCCCATATTTTCCATGGTCACACAAAACAAACCACCATGAGCACCAAATCAGTTATTTCCCTAAATATGAGGACGTGGTCAAGTAAACGTGTTCTTTAAATATAATTTTTTACTTGCTAGCTATAGTAGAATCTGCAACTTCTTGTCCCACATAAAGCCTTATTCAACTATTCCAGGTTGAATTTAACCACAGTTAAATTCTATTCTAGGTTGTATTTAAAGACTGTGAGACTGTTTAAAACCAAAATCTAAATTAGACATATCTGTATAAAGGGAACAAACACCATTTGAAGAAAACCTTTGCTAGTTTTATCAGGATTTCTCATATTTGTATAACAGATACTAATTTAGCTGTTTCCATTACCCCTTCTTTTATAAACTAATATTTTTCAACCGATTTTTAATTCTTTTTAAGCACTGTGAGTTACAGTGAATAAAAATAAAAAGATAACAAACAGATGAAAAAACAGTCCTGTGACACTGTACCTTATTGAGTTTGCCAAGGGAAGATATAAGATCAGCCCATTCACTTGATGATTCGAAGTTTCTCAAAGCTTTCTCAATTGCTGAAGAATAATTCCTATATCTGTAATCACCAAGTAACTCCTGCTCCTCTGGGTCCATCTTCAGTTCTCATAGCAAGGTGAAATTTCCTGGTAAAACTAAAATATATAGTTACAAAGAGATAATTGACATTTAAGCTCTAGTAAACCTAAAACATTATAAATAACAATAGATACATAGAAACACTGACATCCCAGTAAAGTGGTCAGATGATCAAGTTGCAAAATGAAGTTAAAAATAACTTTGGAAGCATGACTCCAACTCTCCATCACCTGTTTTAGTGGCTTTGCAGTCACAGTTCCCTGTTTATGAAATATTTTTTTTTTTATTGTTGTTGCGTTTGTTTTAATTCCATGCACAAAGATCTGTCACACAGTAAGAAAGGAGACTATAAAGTCTCACTGCAAATAGGCAGAATGCTGACAAGCAGAGAGACACGAGTAGCTTTCATCATCGTGCAGTGTTCTGCAGGCTTATCTGTAGCAGTGGAATGTGAAACATTTCGTATCAAAATATGACTCTTCAGAGGAGGCTCTTTAATGGGATTCCCAGCCCTTAGAAGAAGGATTCCTCAGAACTCAACATGTCTAATTGCCAGCAGGAAACGCTGACATAAAGGGCTCAAGGTGTTGCGCAAAAGTCAAGCTGTGTATCCAAGTCTTCCTTTACTTCACCACAATCTATTCATATATTTTTGCAGAGTAGAAAAACAAGTTTTCCAGACGTGCTTTCCTCACGTTCTGCAATACGTTCAGATAAAACACAACCAAACCAAAGCTGGTTTAGAACAATGGGAAATGGGCTTGGGTGCACTGTGCATACAAGAAATTTTATCTGCACTCCTGTACCAGCTATGATAACAGTTCTGCTGGCTAATATCAAAATAAGCACCTAGACACACGCTTAGGTTTCAGAATGCCAGGTTTAGGTCAATTCATGCTGTCTCACTGACACAGGAAAGTGAGTATAGTCCTATAGTAACATTTTATCATGTTTCTGAAAAATGTCTGCATTCAATTTCCTGCTTTTAAGTCACAAAAATAAGTCAAAGCAGTCTTCCGTGTTCTTAAAAAAACAATAACAACAACACCAGAAGAAAACCTGAACTGTGTATTGTTTCCTGTTTAAGGATAATAACTATATTGAGAGAGGGTTCTGGTAGGAAACTCAGAAACAGAAAAATGCAGATGGACCCAAAGTGAGAAATGATACCAAAGGCATGTTTAAGCTACTTTTGAGCTCTTTAATAGCAGGATTCAGCAGGGCTCAGCCACTGCTAACACAATACCTGATGCTGTTCAGCTTAGATACATCTCTGTGATAAAAACATACAAACATAAATGATGGTGTACCTGTAGACATCCCTGTACATTGCGGAGGAGTCAGACCAGATGACCTTTAAGGGCCCCTTCCAACTCAAACGGGCCTATGATTCTATGATTGACCCTAAGTTAATGGCAAGGCCGTGTTTTTGCTTGCCTGTTTTTGTGGTATTTTTTAACCCACCACAATAAAGATGCAAAAAGCCCCGTTTCCCTCATCTCCTTCACATGCCCGAATCACCGGACTGCTGGACTGCGTTAGAAGCCGTTCCAACCCCCTGCCGTGAGCAGGGCTGAGCATCCGTGCTGATTAGAGCAAAGCAAGCCCGCAACAACGCCAAAATCCACACACGGCACCAGACAGCGACCTTTACGTGCAGTCAGGAAGCTCCCCAGCGGCGGGAGGCACCGCACCGCACCGCACCGCCCGCAGGTGACCGCGGCAGGAGCCCCGCGCCGCTCCCTCCCACCCCCACGCACCGCCGGTACCTGACAGCGCCCCGCAGACCCGCCGGGCTGTGGCTGTGCCGACGGCGGCGACGTGTCGCGGTGTCGCGGCCCGGCCCGCAGTCACTATGGCAACGGGAAGGAGAGAAAAAAAACCGACCCAACCTGCTACCGAGCAGCAGCCCCTCCCGCTCCGGGCGGGCTGCGCTGCGGTCGGCAGCCGGGCGATACCATTGAACGCAGCACGGGGGAACAGAGGGGCGGGGGCAGAGAGCGTTCAGGCGCAACCCAGCTCCGATCCAGCCTCTTGCTGTCCCGCCCAGCCACGTCCCCTCGCGCCTTCAACCACACGGCAGGCTGCTCACCCACGCAGCGGCTCACCCACGATGCCCCCCGCACTGAAGCGGGGAGATGGCACGGCTCAGCGCCGCGGCCGGGCTTCGCGCGCCCCCTGGCGGTAACAGGGCGGCCGCCGCCCTTACGGCGGTTCGCCCCATCCCGCGGTGACGGGGTGCATCCTCCCGGGGTGAGCAGGTGAGTTTTGTGGTGAGAAAACAAACCGCCAAGGTACTTACTGATGGTTCTGTGGTAATAGAGTCTTATCTCAGTCCTGCACTGTCTTTCCAAAGCTGGACCAGGAATCAAAAAGCGCTGCTGGCAGATATTCACCGCTCATTATCTCTGAAGTGTTAGCAGTGACTCACGGGTTTCTATGCAGCCCATGCGGCTGCCACACATTCCATCCATTTGAGAAGCCAGCATCTGCTGACGGTGTGAGGGTCAGCATGTGCACTTGGAGCACATCAGTAACAGCTGATCAACACGTAGCGTGTGCGTGACAAAGGCATGAAGCATTTTGCAATTATTTTTAACATTATTCTATGTCTTTAACATACAGAATCACAGGGTTGGAAGGGACCTCAAGGATCATGAAGCTCCAACCCCCCTGTCACATGCAGGGCCACCAGCCTTCTCATTTAATGCTAGATCAGGCTGCACAGGGCCCCATCCAATCTGGCCTTGAACACTTCCAGGGACAGGAATATTAATATATTATCAATAGCACAGATTATGGGACTAAGCTCAGCCTCTGCAAGTTGCTGGTGACACCAAGCTGAGTGGGCTGGTCTAGTATTAAATGAGCAGGTTGGTTGCCCTGCCTTGACAGGAGGGTTGGAGACTCATGATCCTTGAAGTCCCTTCCATCCCAGGCCATTCTGTGACTTCAAATGCTGTGGAGTTCCTCTCAGCCTCTACAAGTGTGCTGGTGACATCAAGTTGATACGGCAGAAGGAAGGGATGCCATCCAGAGGGACCTGGGCAGGTTTGAGGAGTGGGCCTATGGGGACATAATGAGGTTCAGCAAGACCAAGTGCAAAGTGCTGGGTTGGGGCAACCCACTGCATGAGATACCACCTCATTTCAGATATGTTCTAAACTAACGACAGATCTGTAATAATCATAGATTGGCTTTGCTTAGAAGGGACCTCAAAGATCAGTCTCCAACCTGCTGCCATGGGCAGGGCTGCCCCCCCCAGCTCAGGCTGCCCAGGGCCCCATCCAACCTGGCTTTGAGTGCCTTCAGGGTGTCAAGTCAGCTGTGGCAGTCTCTATTGAAGAGAGAGGCCATGGAAGCAGTCAGCCTGATGGCAAACATGGATTGGAGCATGCACTGAAACTAAACAGCCTCCAGGTCAGTCTACTTCCTTATTTCTGGTATAACTTACTGATGAAAGTTTAACAAGTTGCTTGTTTTCTCCATACGTTACCTCCATAAAAGAATCTAAACCAACACATACAAAAATAAAACCAGAGGCACTCCTGCTGTATACCCTCTAAATACTATACAACTCCAGTCAAACAAAACAGACACTGCTATCAGACCTGGGTGACTCAGAGTGCAGGTACATATCTGAAGATGCAAAGGTAAGATTTTAAGAATAACTGTGACAACATGGTGAGTAGGGCCCAAGGACAAGACGACAATCCTAGCTGGAAAATGTGAAGTACTATTGATTAAGATCTACGTGCTATGAATTGCTCACCTTGTGAAGCAATCTGCAGGCAATGACAACTGGCCTCCAAGACCAGAACATTTTCCAGCTGATGGTTTCTTTTACTGTCAGCTCCAAAATGAAGTACAGTCTTTGCAGAGTAAAAATGAAAACTGAAATTTCGCTGCTGTAAAACATCATTCTTCCTTCCCACTCCCCTCCCATTATTTGAGGGGAAAAAATAAACTACAGGTGTTTTTATATGAATTTGAGACTGGCGTTTCAGTTATATTCTTCATTTAAACATTTTAGGTAATACTAAGTGGTTTATATAATTCACATTTTTGTGTTGCATTTTTAGCCTGAAAGGAACTCCACAGCACTCAAAGCCACAGAATTGCCCAGCGTGGAAGGGACCTCAAGGATCATGAATCTCCAACTCCCCTGCCAAGGCAGGGCCACCAGCCTCCCCATTTTACTAGACTAGGCTGCCCAGGGCCCCATCCAACCTGGCCTTGAACGCTTCCAGTGATGGAGCATCCACAACCTCTCTGGGCAGCCTGTTCCAGCACCTCACCACTCACTCTGTAAAGAACTTCTCCCTGATATCCAACCTAAATCTTCTCAACTTAAAACCATTTCAAGACTGCCTATATGTTGGATCATGCTACCACAAGAGTTGGGTTAAATTAAAGTTATCTACAGACATCAACAAGTTCAAAAAGTTCTTTTCATCTTTTTTTTTTTTCAAGTAGGAAAACACCACATTATTGCTAGCACTGTTTATATCCAGCTGATACAGAAGCATGTACAGCTTCCATTCCCAAAGTTTTGCCACTGCTGCCTGAATGGCTCCTGCACAGGCCATAGCATCACCAATGAAGTGCCTCCCCTGAGCTCTCACAATTGTCAGTCCAGTTTCTTTGCTGTTCCATGTCACCACAGTCACTGCATCCAGCCATTTTCTTTAGCTAATAAATTGCAAAGTGAAAATGCTAGTGACATGCTGTAAAAAGAAAAACAGTAATTCACATGTAAAGGTTTCATACAGTAGAACAGATCACTATTTCATTCTTTTTCTAACCCTTAAACTTTATACAATGACCACTCTGCAGGCGTGCCAGAATCTGAATACAACAAACACTTCAGACATAACAGACATGGGAGAAAAGCAGGGAAGCAGCCTTAAAAATAAATTACGGTTGAACAATGTAAGCCCTGTCCAAAGACTCAGCCTGCCAGGCACACTGTACAGCTTGTCCTCTCGTTCTGCTCTTGGCAAACAGACCTCCTCTGGAAGCGTGCCATGCGCAGTCCCAGCTCTATTCCCAGTATGTAGTCCTCATCCTGCTGTCACAAGGAGATGGGTGTGCATCTCTTGCACAAGCTCCTCCTTGCCTCAGGCTGATCCTGTGAACAGCAATTTTTTGGCTTTTCCTTCCTCAAGTATGGCACCACTCAACTGAAAGGCTGTAAAAGATGTATCCTCTGTTCTTTTGATCTGTATCAGAAGAAACTGTATTATAATCAATCACTATGAAAATGGCATTTCTGATGGACTACTAAGTAGCCTTCCACTTTTCTTCTTAAAAAAGAATAAGCACTGCAAAAGGGCTTAGTGTAAGAAACTGAAACATCTGTAAGACTGTTAAACATCATTTGTTTGACTTAAATGTAAAAAAAACAAAAGACACCAACAACCCAGATGCTGAGTTAGACTTAAGGAGGAGCTTTAAGGAGTGCAGAATAGATTCAGAAACTGATTTTCTCTTATGATGGATATCATTTAGCTGCATTAAACTTACCAGAGATTCTTAGCCTGCTCTTTGTACAGACCTTATGAAAATAGGTGTAGAAGTTTGGGTAAATGTTCATTTGTAAAGTTCATACACACAACCTAGAAGGGCACACAACTTTTGAGATGTAATGACTTGTGTCAAGAATCAAACTATGTATGATTTTCCACTGCTCAACTACATCTCTCAACAGTTCTGCACAATATATTACTAAATCAGAACAGCCAAGCTTCTCCCCCCACCCCAATACCAGTAAGACAGCCAAAGAACATAGAAAAGCCACAGTCCTTTCTGTCACGCATTAGATTGTGTGTGTGAATGAGTCACTGTACTAGCAGAATGGCCATTGGAGCTATGATGCTGTAGGCAGCCTACAGTTACTACACAGAATGCATAAGCTTTTTTTTTTTCCTTTACAAAACCCCTGTTCAACTGATCTGTTGCCAGTAAGCACCAGGTTTCAGATGTTTTTCTTCATAGAGAATATATCAGCAATAATAACTTTAGGAGGCAACACTCATCCTCTTTTATGAGATTTGGGGCTTAACTCATAGTAACACTTCCATCTTAATAAAAAAACAATAACTATGTATCTATAAAAGATTAATACTCTCAGCTTTGTTCTGTGCTGTTAAGTGATTACCAGAACAACACATACTGTGCTCAGCGTCTCATAATTTAAGACTTCCCTGAACACAAACTACCACAGAAAGCCAGTGTAAAACTCAGTTGGCTAAGCCATTTTGCCATTATCTTGCTGACTCCTGAATAAGAATTAACATGACTATAGCATTTTTTTTTATGACTAAATGAGACCTGCAATTTTCCACAGCTCTTTCAGTCACTCCCTGCCCTGCAGGAAACATGGGACAGGCAGGGTCTTCGAGACTCTAGCCATGGCTGTCATGCTAGCTAAAACCAGGACATTATGTAGAAGGTTAAGAAGTTAGTACCTGGGTGTGACCAAAACCCATCTCACTCCTACCAGCAGGAACCAGTTACCTCACCCTTTTCATAGGCTGCCTCATGGCTCTGCCTCTCCAGGTTAAGCATTTGAAACAAAATGACCAACTATTAAAACAACAACATTCTCCATATTACTGCTTCCTCCACTTGTCATTTTGCTTGAAGGACCTTTTTAAAAAACAAAACAAAAACAACCTGTGATAATTATATTCTTAGTTCATTTTTTCCACTACACAGAAGGCATTTGTAGCAGAAACACTAAATCACAGCCTGAACCAGTGATGGAGCACCTAGTGGGAAGGCAGGGTCAACCCAGGGGATTTCAGGGGCATGCAGTGTACCTGAGTAACCAGAAGGGGTGGAGCCAGGATCCATCCCTTCTCAGACCTCATTTAAGTGTTAGCAGTGGAGGCAAGAGGATCTCTGGAGATCCCTGCTTACCTGAGGCCTTCTCAAAGGTAAGCAGCTCTTTTCTTTCATTTCTGTGTCTGCAGCTGCTGCAAGTGGGCTCATTCTCATTTGCTGTAGCCAGAGACTTTGCTACCTCAGTATTATTGTGGTACTTTCCATCCCATTACAGAATTTAACGTGGGTACTTAGTATGAAAACTTTAGGTTGTGCAATAAATGAAACTGAAGTCCTGCAGAAGTTCAGATGTTTGCTACACCAGTTCTATAGTTTATTTTGTCTCCACTTATTCCAAACATCACACACTTGCATTACAGACTTGGATACAAAAAATAGTCTCAATAAACATAGATCTTTAGTATCAGAATAAGCCACTTCTATGAATACAAGTCTGTAAGTAATCACATCACATACATATTAATAAAACCAATTAGGTAATTTTCCCCTATTAATGGTACATCATTGCTATTTTTATTTCCACCAAATTCCATTCTATAACAATAAGCAATCTCTATACAATAGTGATTCAGTTTGAATCCGATTAGCTCCTCCCAACCCAAACTAGTTAGACTGTAGCACTGAGAAAAACCCTCTCTCCATTTAAGAAATCCCATGCAATCTTAAGAAGCAACTATGGTCCCCCAAAAAGATCCACTGCAGAGAGAAAGCATAAGGCATCAGTCTCCTCATATAAGCCTCATATCATGAAGATATATAGGCTCT